GAGGGCGGTAAGGAGGTGGTCGCGGCCCTTCCCTCGCTTCCCTTTTGGGCTGCCTGCCCTGATGCCATGGCTGCTGCGTGCTGGGCTCTGGATTCGGCTGCAGCCGAGGGCTCGGCTGATGCCTGGCTTCTGGCTGAACCACCTGAGAGAGACACACACGGTTACGCCTCTGACACAGCAAAGCAAGCAAATACCACACTTGCTTATGTTTTATGCTGGGAATAATTATAATAATGCTCTGACTCTACAAAGGCAATGTGGTGGAATCTGATAATTGATTTTTCCATGGTTTTTGTCTGAAGTTTTTAAAACCTGGAAAGCTCATCTTCAGAAAACACAGGATGACAGCTGAAAACATTATTGTAAGCTTCGTACATGCTGGTCCATCTTTTCAAAGGGATGGGTGACAAGCACTTGGTCCTAACTCAACAAGCAGAATTGCAGGCATTTGGAAAAGGCTATCCCATGCAAGGAACATACACAGGATGTTAGTAGGGTACTTTGTATAGACTGTAGGAATCTGTTTTCTGATTTCCATAAAGAGCGTGAAGCACAGCAGCTACATCAGTCAATAAACCGTGACCAACTTCAAATGTGGCTGTGCTTGTACCTATTTCGAGGCCTCTGCTGAACAAAACCAGATCCGCATTGCAGCTCAGCATGCAACATCAGCAGGGGTAGGAGACAGAGCTTTTTCACTTTCCTTTGAAATCACAATTATGCCAACCCAGTAGCAAGATGCAACTAGGCCTAAGATTTGGTACAGCACTTAAACTGCTTTCTTCTGGCTCTAATCTTTCTCTCCAAAATGTGCTGCCTCAGAGAGGTATATTACAGCAATCCACAAGGAGCTGTGTGAAAGAGGCTGGTATCTTGTAATGCCTCCCTCTCTCTCTGAAAACAGTCATCAAACAGACTGAGAGCTCTCTCTTGTGGCTGGTGCCAATAGGATGTAATAGCAATTACCCATGCCAAATGCCTGCTTTTGGCCCACCACTTTATCCCCAGCTCAGTTGTAAAGGAGAGAATCAGGAAAACCTTCACTTCTGCGAACAGGTTTTGGCATGAAGTCACAAAGCACAATCCGTCATAAAGAGTTTTCCATGAAAATAAATAGATCTTTTTAAAAAAACCTAAAACACAAAGCACACCAAAAAACTTCTTGCCCTCCTGCTAATATATATGAAAGATACTTACAGTGGATCTTGCAAAGAGAGGATCCTCAGTCGCTTCCACTATTACTTGATGGGCTGGTGCCCCAGGACCTCGGGTGGCCTCGTACTGATGCAGCTCTTCACTGATTCCAGACACTGTGGTTTGAGAGCTGTACTCAGAATCAGAGGAATCTGAAGCATTATTTGTGTGGCCAGGTGGCAGTGCAAACCTCACAGTACCGGGGGGTGGCTCAGGAGATGGTGTGGGCAATCTGTCCTGTCCATTAGTTGGAGAAACCTGGTGACAGCAACACTTTCAGTTACATTCAGCTAGCTTTACCCTTTTAATCACTAGAGCTTGACACAAGCAATGTTCTGCCAAATACACCCTGCCGTGCCACAACAAGCTTAGCAACAGTTTTCTGATGAACACAGATACTGAACTGAAAAAATTAATGGAAGTATAAAAGATATGACCTCCATCTGCAGATACATATCTAAACAAGACTACACAGATATTCTTCTGAATATAATTTTATCAGGAAGAGCATACATGTGTGTATGTGCATGCACTTGCAAATATAAAAACAAAAATAATATGTGGGGTCCCCTCCCCTTTCAGCAAGCATTAGCAGTGATTCCACAAAATCACCTCAGTGGGTCGGGACAGTGTTACTCCATGTCTGTTTGCAAAGAGAGATGGATACACACATCACAGCAACATATATGGTAATAACACACACATTCACATTATTTGTGTAATAGACAGGTCATGCATACTGTTAGGAATTAGGAGAGTATACATTGTTGTCAAAACTGTTTTTCTAATATTAAAAGAACCCAAACACTTGTGAAATATACCAGTGCTGAATACATACCTTGTGTTTTGTTCTTGTGCACATACATATATATAGATATATGAAACATAGCACACTGATTCTATTGACACATGATAAAGATAACCCCACGTAACACAGTAATTGTATGAACTACAGGGTAGGTAATAAAAGACCAACAACCAAATATAAAGTTAGTATCCGTGAATCCTGGAGTCTGGACTTGGAGTTTGTGCTGTAAACTCTCCAACATCTAAGTGAAACCTTCCCCACAACAAAAATGCTACTTGAGGCAGGAGAATGCCACAGGGAGAGGTGGCTGGGCAGTGGGGACCTTCTGGCAGACCAATCCTGGTTATCAAGGTGTGGTCTCTCGACCACCACTGTGTGTGTTGGTCCACACGGGCCTTCCTGGTGGTCTGCTCAGCTAAACACTTTGAGGAATGCAACAGAGCCACTGAGGTAGGAAAGCAGAAGCTATGTGTATAAAACAAACTATCTTTTGCAAAATATTGAGGGAAATCCTTATTTTTCAAACTTCTTTGCATATCACATTATGCTAGTAGTATAAATAACCCTATCAGGTTTGCTTATTGTGACTTCTAAAACAAGACTTATTTAAAAAAAAAAACAAAAACACTTTAAAAAGGCATAGTATCAACTATGTACCAAACAGCACTTCTAATAAAAATTTATAAAGAAGCCTGAGAGCAAGAAACTTAATCCAAGAAAATTTAAAAAATATTTCCTAAAACCAGGGGGTGATTGAGGGGGACAGCAACACAGACATAGTATCATTTTTCTGTTCACTATTAATTTTACTGACCTCAGGGTATGGTCCAAAGAATGAGAGAAGAACAGGAAGCAGCACCAATCCATTGAGAACTCCCAGAATGGTTAGGATTGCCAAAACAGCAAAGAAATACCTGAAGTACAGTTTAAATAGTTTGGGGGAGAGAACAGCCACTGTTAGAAACAAGGGATCACAAATTACTCCAACATATGTTAAAATAATAAAGATCCTAAATTAACTGTAACATATTACTAACATCAAAGGAAACATTTATATCACTTTCCATATAAAATATTGGGGTTTTTACCTTTTGCATTAGAGAAGCTACATTCCACAAAGTGTTAGTTGAAAAGGAAAGAAAAAAATTAAATTTGTTAATTTCCCAGAATTTGAAAGCATGTAATGTTATTTATGAATGTGTTACACAAACACAAAAATATGGAATGTGCAGGGAAGGGCTGAATGGATTGAAAGCACAAATACAATGAAAAGGGGCCCCCATTAGTGAAAACCCAGCAGAAGCAAACAAATGAAGTGAAGGGTGTAGAATTTAAACAATTTAGTGTAGAAGGAAAAGAAGCCCTCTTCTCCCAGCAGCTAATCCACTGTGAAATGCTTCTGCAACTTACAGCAGAATGTCTAATTAAATCTACAGTATATCAGGTAAGGGTTTTCCTTGCCGTTCATTAATCAAACTTAACGCCTAGAATTCTGTGAGTTCCAGTTTTACCAAATAGCTTGAATTGCAACTCTTTACAACACAGGAACCCGCCTTCTGCAAAGAAAATGCCCATTCTATAGTAAGCTTCAGCATTGTACTGAGTAAGAGCGCTCCACAATGGCAGAGCTGCATTGCAGGCTAATCTTTTGTTGAACAATTTAGCATCTCTGAATACTCTTGTTTTGCGTCAGCCAATTCAAACATAAAGGCTGAAATACTATGGAAGAAGAGAAAAGTGCACAAGTAGTTGTCCTTTCCCACCACTGAGGGCTAAGGTCTGGGATCCTTCATGAATACCAAGGTAAACCTGTCAGTAAAAGGAAAGTCTTGCTAGTTGGTATTCGGCACAGCTGGGGCTCAGACTAAACTTAAGGCTGCGTTGTAACTAATGATTTCAAGGACTCAGTCTTGCTAAATTCCTGAAGGAGAAAGCAAAGGAGAAGAACAGAGGGCACGTTTGCTAATGGGTCTGCTGATTACATTGTCTAGCTGGCAACAAACTTTACTGCCTCCCTGTTTCCACATCTGATCAAATATATCAGACTCCTGTAAAACTATAAATATCCTGCTATTGTAAACATTTGGGAATTTCTGATCTGCATTAACAAAAATCAGCAAGCCAATCTACTCTACTAACATAAACCACCAGAACTTTAAACTGGGACACAGATCAACAACAGACATTAAAAACATTTGCATCTCATCCATCTAATGTTAGAATAAACAGGAGGATTATGGCTTTGACCAGTTGGTGTATACAGTGTCTGTTAATTTACTTAATCTTCCACATTGCTGGACTAATCTGTCGCTTTCCGGAAGTTTAGGATCTTCTTCGCCCACTCTAACAATGCTCAGGCTCCCCATAGTTTATTTTATTATATTTTTTAAACACAGCAAACTGAAGTGAGATTGTGCTATAAAAACAGAAACTGATGGCCAAAAAAAGTAAAATAACATAAGTTGAAAAGTTGAAAGGCTCATTTTATAAACTGAGAGCACATCCAATCCAAATTTGGTGCGAAGGGCTGCTACAATCTTCCATTTGCTGACACAAAAATGTGTGCCAAAATCTCATCTGTTCAGTAGGAAAGCAGCACACCAAAAATATACCCTTGTAAATTTAGGTTAAATCTATCAGTAACCTGTATGTCAAAATGTTCTGACCCTTACAAAACCAGTTCCTAAAAGAAAAATTCTATTTCTTCAATACCAATTCAATAAAGTAAAAAAATAATGATTTTGGGGAAAAAAATTATTTCAGAACATAGAAAACCTGTATAGTAATATTCTTCATGCAGGTTTCATGAGATCTAACTGCAACCCGCCTGCTTTCTTCAAATCTCTTTCATACATAAACAAAAAGCCTGATGAGATTTAGCAGTCATTCTCCCAGTTCCTGCCCCTGACATTTGTTGTTCTTGTTGTCAAATGGATGTCAGTTAAGTCTAGTCATCTATCCAGCTTATGTCTACCTAAGTAGTTTAGCCATCTTTCAGAGCATTTTTATTTGGCTCAGTTCTACCTCAGTTCCATTTTAAGGCCTGGATTATTTTTTTGTGTGTGCTATAGTTTACCACAAAGAGCCTGTGTTACTTCTAAGATTAGCCATTTTGCAGAGCTCCACAGGTTGTTTGGAGTAGAAGAGGATCTGTTTCATTGCACTTCTCAAATTCCCCTCAAAAAAAGACTTGCTTTCCTCTATACTTGACAAACACACATTCTTAATTATATTCACAAGAAACAGCCTGCTTGTAGTTCTAAGCAGAAGGGCCTTCAGGTTTGCTGTACAAAATTTTAGTATGAAGTTCTGTGTTCATATTTATGGTTCCCCAGCTCCCAAACAGTGCCTTCTCCTCCCCACATCCCCCAACTCTTTTCCTCATTATGTAAAACCTACATAAGGATAGGAGGGGAAGGCCCTGAGAGAGTCACTTGCAGCACAGTTGAATGTTTGTAGGTTCACATGTCTTGTGCATACAAATTCTTGTGCATACAAGAAGTCTGGAGGACCTCAAGGCTAAAGGTCAGCTGCAGCTAACACGGGACAATACAAGATGCTTCGAACTAATTCAAACCCAGAATCAGCAAACTTTCTAAAGAGCAACATTTTTGTGCTCCTTCATGCTAAGTCTCAGATTTTCCTGGAAGAGATTTTAATGTCAGCAATGGAAACACTACCATGTCTAGCAAGTAACAAGGAGTTAATAAAACAGAGGGAAAGCAGGACCATGACATAAGCATACTTGACACACCATGCACAGTAATAAAATGACAGATTCACTGAAGTGAATAAAAATTAAAAGCACAGTTATTTTTATTTTTGAAAGAAAGTCAAAACACAAAAATGCTTTACCTGACAATAAAATCAAACTCTGATCCTGCAAGCATTAACACCCCAAGCAGAGTGGACACAGCCCCATCCAGCACTGGTGCAAACATATGTTCCAATGCAAGGACAGCCCTATGGTTCCTGTCTCCTATGGCAGTTAAAAACGCCTGTAAAACAAAAAAATCCATTTCCTTAAGCAGATGTATACAACCTTCCAAACAGCCTCTCTCCTAGCATACACAGGTTTCCATCAGTTAATTACTCTAAACTACAGTTTATCAAAGTTATCTCTATAGCTGCCTAACCCTTGAGAGAAGGCTTGATCCTGCAGATTTACCACAGCAGCTGCTGAAGTCACACAACCAAAGTAAGCACTGATAACAGAGTCAGCCCATAATAATTCTGGAAGCAATTCCTACTTGCAACAGTAGCCTTTTGTCTCTGGATTTGCCTATTTCCACCTGAAAAGAACCCATATCCTGGTGAAAGCACTTCAGGTGTGAAAATTGCAGGGCTGCTCCTCTCACTCTTGTGGGTCCATGGCCTCTGTGACTTTTTTAACATTTTCATTTCACTCAAAAAAGTTTTTGAAACTTTTAGTACTTCAAAGCTAGAAGTTCTATACATAAAAAATTATCCTAGGAATAGTGCTAAACGTGGTAGTGCCTGAGCAACAATATCACTAGTGAACTGTCTTCATTCCTACAACTCTGTATGAATATGGTTTATCAAGAACATGCAAATACTGGTGTTATAAATTCGTTATAAATGTGTCTACTTTGTATGACTTAATGGTGTAAGAAAACAAGAACCTGACTGATCTTCTTACTGTGGTTTGTAAGGGCTCTCTTTAGCTAATTCCCTACTGGCTATTAAGATATATGCTGAAGCAGCTATCTTCCTCACAGTCCTGGAATTTAAGTCCCTCTTCTCTAGAACTAGAAAAAAACAAGGTCACAATTCACAAGCAATAGCAGAAAACTGATCCACAACTGCACTGTGAATCACTTTTAAACTCAATTAAATTTGGCATTAAAAGCACTACCTTTTTTGTTTATACAACACTGATTTGACTATTTATGTGTTCCAAAGTTTTCACCTCTAGTGTCAATGTGAGAAAACCAGTATTTTCAATTTGCTTGGCATTTTACCTTCAGGCACAGGTGACCCATAAGGTCCTGTAAATTAAATTGGTTTCTTCCCAACTAGAAACAACTGTTTTGTCCATTTTTTTATTCCATTTTTCCTGTTTTAATACTAAGAAGCTGTCATTTCTTTCTTCCTCATCTACACTAACACTTCCCAAACAATTCAAATTCCTAGCAAATTCATTTGCCTCCCAAAGTCTATCTGTAGCAGCAGGGGGAAAAAAGATGTCATCACTTGAGGAATTCAACTGCTCCTCTTTAACCTTGCCCTACTTCCACTTTGGTTTTTCTCAAAATGATTCTTTTCATTTAGGGTGACTTTATGCGCCCTAACTCTGTACAATATCTAAACCACTAGATAAACAGTAGAAAAATATTTTCCTACAGACTGCATGTTTGTGCCCGCTATTATTAGCCAATGGCTTCTGAAAAGAAGGTGAAGATTTTACAAATGGAACACTAATTCAAACATGTTCACATTCAAAAAGTTCAGAAATACCAAATGACACAATATCTGATTTTTAAAAACTCTTCTGAAGAATTCTCTTTTGCAAGATAGAGAACAAGCAAGAGGCAACAGAAAGCTGTGTAATGTTGATGCAGCAACACTGGGGCATCAGACAAGGATCATGAGAGTCTGGAATGAAGCAAGGTGATTTAAGATCTCTGTTTTCTCTATATAATTGCATTAATCAGACTAACAGGTATCATAGCGAATGATACCTGTTAGTCTGATAATGAGAGTCTCTTGTCTCCTGGGAGACTGACTCAATGGCTAGGAATCACCTCATGAAGATCAACTCTTGTTCCATTGAGACAAACAGAAAGGTACATAAAACTGTGACCATCTTCCTTCTGAGAATCACGTCACTGACAAGAAACTGTAAGGATTTGTGATCGGAACATTGCCACCATTTTATTTTAAGATGCTTTTGAAATGCTTCTTGATTTTACATACCAATGCAACATGAACAGTGAATTCCACACCAATGCCAACAGAAGCAATCAGGATAACCACAGGCACTGCACTCAGCTTTATTCCAATTAGACCCATCATGCCAAACAGCTCCACAGTCATCAGAGCCAGCACCACCACCTAGATGATTTCAAACATCTGTTAGTATTTTCTTATACTCCAGACAATGAGGAGAAAGACATTTCAAAATAATGTGGTTACCATAGGATGTATTCCTCAAAGCCACCCTATATTCCCAAAGACAAGCTGCTCTTTTTTCATTATTCTCAATGGCAATGAATGCTGCACAGCCAGTCTAACTTACACCCTAAGAACCAGTTAACACATGAAGCACCAGCTTTGTATTGGTTACAATGCATCAGTAAGCTGAAAACCCATTTATTCCTCCTTATCATGGATACTCCCCAAAGGTACATTTTTCTTTTTCACCCATCTTTCAGACAGTCCTTCCAGAAAAAGTATCTTTCAACTATCTGTATTTGAACTCTCTTTTGTAGAACTGCAAATATAAGCAGAGATGTCTAAAGCACAGAAGAAACTGAATGCCATAATCAGCTGATGTGTCTCAGGTTACAGAGGGACTCTCAGCTTTTAAAGTATTTGGGGGGGATTGACATGGACAAAGTGAACAGTTAAATATAAGAGGAAGCTTTTATTTTTCTTTCATCTACCTTGTAAAAAAAACTGAGGAAAAGGGAGGGAAGGAAATCTGGAGAATTAACTTAAAAAGTACCTAAAGCCAGGCAGAAGAAAAAAAAAATAGACTCACTTATAAAAGTAATGGTGTACTCTGAAAATAAACTCTTTTTCCAAAGGAGAAAAAGTATGCACTACTTTTAAATGATTTTATAAGCTAATGAATCAAGCATAATAACATAAATTGCTTGATAAGGTGCTATGAAAAATATTCTAGACTAAACATTTACCTTTTAACATACCTGTCATATAAATATACATTAAAAAAAACTAGTAACTGTTTTATGCTTTTCTCCTTCTGGCTTTTTATAAACCATATGATAGTTTATGGAATTTAAACATAGGGACATCATCATTCAATTTAACTTGAATGTTTACTGAGAAGCTTTTGGTGCCTTGCAGAAAGCATGGAGGAGTATTCTCTGCAGTTTACAATTTTATGACCTTTCTCCTCGCTTGGTTACAGGCTTTCCACAGTCTATACCCTACAACATAAGCATTTCAGTTTTTTCCAGAAATTGCATTCAGAAATGACTGGGAAAATTTACAGACAAGCTAGTCATAAGCAACTGCCTTAAAAAATAATTATGCGTGACAAAAGAAGAGAAGGAATACAGAATTAGAAATTGTTTTAATAAAGCTCCTAATTTTTCTCTGTGTCTTTATTTCTTATATTAGTGTGCATTTGAGCAAGGGTAAAAGTTTATATACCTTCTAAGAAACTTTTAAACCTGCAAAAAAAGTGGCCAAAAGATTAAGGTTATTAAGGTTTGTACCTTCAGCATGAACCCTAGCCCCTCAAGTTGAATAAATATATAATGAATGATGCAATATACATACTCCACCAGAGGCCCAGACATAAACAAAACCTTCCCGACTACAGCAAGAGCTATGCTGAAAGGAATTTGACTTCAACAAAGACCCTTATAATAAACTTACAATGATCCCAGCTGTCCAGGGGTTTAGGAGGAAGAGGGCACACACCAGAAACGTGCAAGCCAAAACCACACTAATGGATAAGAGGAGCCAGTGACGAAGTCCAATGTACTGCTCCCAGAAGAGAAATGGGTAACCATTAGGGTAGCTGGAGATCCCCAAGCTGGTGTAGTTGTTACAGATAGCTCTCACTTTCTCAATAGCCTCCACAAAGTCAGAAGTTTCACGCAATCCATTGAGGTAGAAAGGAAACTGAGCATATTCTATGGGCTCGGCTGCTGGAACTAGGAAAATTACAGCAGTGTTAAAATGCACTTTTGGGAAGAACATGATATACAGGTTAGCAAAATATTTTATTCTTCACAGCAAAATGCACAAAAGGTGGTGAATTTGAATTTACTTGTTTGGAATTAATTATAGTTTTAAAACTCACCAATAAAGAGAAACTGGAAACAGTACATGAGATTACTGTATTTTATCATGCAGCGTAACGGGATGAACACAGCCTCCACCAAGTTCCCTAACAGTTACATATAATTTAACAGTTATCTTTCAATCCACGTATTTAATCCTAATCAGTGTTATAGTGCTTTTTACTGAATACCTAGTCAAAAATCCCTGACTGTGACATGAGTGGACAATCACATAATTAAAAATTTTACCCAAATGCTCCTCTTTTATGCAGTTTCTTAAAATTCAAAGATCATTTCCCTAAGATTAACTGGGATCCACTGACACAAAACTAGAGAAAAATTAGGCTTGAGCAGGTTGGTTGGTTTTTAAAGATTTCCATTGAATATTTGGAAATTCAGATGCAGAAATCTATTCAGATGGAAATTAGTGGAGGAAAACTAGAGAAAAATTAGGCTTGAGCAGGTTGGTTGGTTTTTAAAGATTTCCATTGAATATTTGGAAATTCAGATGCAGAAATCCATTCAGATGGAAATTAGTGGAGGAAAATTCCCCATAACCTAGAAGTAATGGCTTATTTACTTACTTCCATAACTTTTTATCCCTTAATAATTTGACAAACCAACACTCTCCATACTTCTTTTTGAGTGTAATGCAAGGCCTACTCTATGACTAGAAAAGAAAAGGCTTTTTCAACAAGATTTTGGTTACTGCCACTGTGCGTTCCAACCCTGCATCTTCATTCAGTTGACTTGCTTAACATGATTTGCCCTATTATAATCTCAACTATAAATTTTCATTAAGACAAAACTTGGCTGACTGCCACAAAGCTCCAGGGTTTGGATACACTGAAGCATGGTTATCCAACCACATTTCCAAGTGCACCAGTTGTCCCCTGTATGCCCTCTCTCCTTCCCTACTGGTGTCCAACTAGCAATCCTCAATTGAAAGCTGAATCAAAGCCAGCTTTTGGTATTGGTGACAGAAAACAGTGAATGGTGTGAAGTGGAACTTCTCCCCTAGTCCCTCTAGCTCTTGTACGATATCAGTGCAGTAGCTTAGTGTATAAGTTACCTTGGTAAAAATTTCGGAGGTATTAGGAATTGAGAACAGCCATGACAGAATTTCAGTAATGAAATTTCAGAATAACTGAGGCAGGAATTTAATGAAATGCCCAGGTTTCTCACACAGATAGAACTATCATGTAACACTTTAAAAAGCAATGCTTACTATAAACTTTTAGAGCTTTAAACTGTTTTATAACCCATTATTCAACATGATAAAACCCTGCAATGGTGTCACAGTCTCAGTGGTGCTTGTATCTCCTATAATTACAGTGTAACACAATGTCTTCTCCTGCTAATGCTTCAGAGCCCTGTGCAGCATCAGGGGTTACTGGTGCTGGAAGGAAGGAGTGGGGGCACTCATGTAAACTGTAGGAAGTTAAGATGAAACACTACTTACTCCTCAGCCGTGTTTCTGGCATGTAGTCTGCTTTGTCGTGCACCCACTCTGGGCGGTGTGGGCGGATGTTGGCCTGCGAGGCAGCGTAGGCCACAGGGTCATTGCTAACCCAGGCTGTCAGGTAGATGTAGAAAGCATTTGGGTTAATGATTCCATCTGCATCCACCAGACGCTGTTTAGTCAACTGCAAAATGGGGAAAAAATCAGAAGCCTTTCAGAGTAAATTCTGCTTTCAGCAGTCTTGTTATAATGCTTTCAACAAAGAGCCTGGAGATGCAACACACGTATAGAAAGGTAAAAGCAAGAGAAGATGAATCTCTACTTGAAGGGACTTATCAGTAAACTATTGTTGGACAACAAAAACAAAATCTAAGAAAATGCAGTGACAGTGGTTATTTATAAATTAGTGCTCATATAATATTTACAATAACCAGTAAATCAACAGATGGTTCCAGAATATACTGAACCAATTAAATCCAAATTCTGAAAGACTGCAGCCAAGAATGAAAAACAACCAAGTTGGAGAAACATATTTAAAGACAGGCAAAGAAAACCTGGCAAGAGTCCCTATACATGTCTGTGTGCAGTTAACCTCTGTTGTTAACACTGAAGGAAATGCCACCCAGTAAATGGAGGAGAGCTATAAAAATAAAACAACACCTGTATAAATTTTGCTAACACTTGCCTCCTATGACCTATGTATTCAGAAAATGCCCAGCGTCAAAAAAGCAGACGACTGCCCCATATTATTTGGGTCACTGTGGGCAAAGCATCTGTGGAGTAAACAGCAGTGGTACACTTCCAGGGTTCTGTTAGCCAAATCCTGCACAGCTAGAGCTCTTGCAGAGGACTCCATGGGTGAAAAGTATTACTGGGGTTTTTTGTTTTGTTTATTTAAAATTCTGGCTGAGCTCCAGTTCCAGGTCTTTTTAATGAAATGAAAAACAACAGTGACAGCAGTTAAAAGAAAAAAAAAAGTTGGATTCCAAGGATCTGGATTCAATTAGTCCACAGGATATGCAACAACTGTATGTCTTCAAGCTGTCTCTGGAACTGCACAGTACAGCGCTCAACCCCTGTGGGTGCACCACACTTTTCTCCCTCCCAGGCACAGGAAATTATATCAGCAGCTGCAGTCCAATTGCATTTGTTCCACAGCGTACCTGGTACACTCTGCTAAACAAAGTCTCACTGAAGGTTTTCTCTTCTACTCCCTTTCTTTGCCTAATTCATTGCTGAAGCTTCATTCAGACCTGACAGCATGTTGCATGTTGCTATACGGCAGTGTGTTTCACACACTACAGTAACTTTGAACAATGTACTCTGTAAATCTGTCACCTTTAATGCCAGGAAGAAAAAAGAAAGACAGTAAGCAGAACTGCCAAGAAGCTCATTAAAAACACTTTTTTTCTGCCTGAAAGCACAGTGAGTTGATGATGACTCTCAGAGAAGAGAGGGTATGTTATTGAAGAATTTCTTCTTCAGCATTTGAAATCTAATTTTGGTGTAAGGAGTAATTCCTAATGTATTTCCACTTACAAATGGCTACAGCAAATGCAGTCATATGCTGTGGTAACCTCACGCATATTTTATTTAGTCAGCTGTAACAACTGCCATTTGTAGTTCTACAGCACTTTAGATGTATTTAGTGATGTTGGTACAAGAATATGATACTGAATGTAATCATTTCAGTCTCCCTCCTCTATAATTCATCAATACATTTTTAAAAATGCTCTTCTTTGAACAAATCAGTAGGAACAAAACAAATAATTGCAAGTGTCCGACATAGGACTAAACTCCATACACGTACGGATGCAGAGAGGTATTTTCACAACAATTTCCATGGAAACTGAACATGTCTGGCACGGGGGCACAAAATGCAGACCAGTAACAATCTAGGACTGGTATTTGCCATGTGGATTTGAACACTTTACAACATAGGCCATACCGCATCTGAGGAGTGGCTTCAGCAACATCAGCAAGGCCATAAAAGAAAAGCACAATTCAGACATTCAGCTCCTTGAGATGGAAAAAAAGACACTACAACCTCTGTAGACTTTGCACCTCCCTCCGCTCCTGAAGACTTGCGTATTGTTGTGTAAGCCAGCATGAACTCTGATACACTACCTGGCTGATGTCAATAGGCTTTGCATGGTTGCCTGTTTGTACCAAGAGTTTGTAAGCCAAAACAGCATCGTCAGAACCATTTTTATAGCTGTTGTAAGTGATCTTCCCGGTTTCCCAGTCACTGTCAAATGCATCCTGAAGTCCTGAGGAGTTAAGAGAGACAAGGGGAAGACAGAATAAGCAGGTGAATAATCACTATTATAAACAAGTTTCAAAAGGAGAAAGAACAATGATGCTTTTTCATAACTGAATCAGGATGAAAATTATTGACCTGGTGCCTCCTAAATTTGGGGCTCCACACTCTCAGTGTGTAGGAAGTGTCAGCTGCATGTTCAATATTTTGCCCAAAGAAAGGCAGGGGAAGCAAGAAAATGCAAGAGAGAAGCCCCAGGAGTCTCCAGGTTGTGCAGACCAGCAAAGTTACGGTAGCAAGCTGAAAATGCCTTGTGAACTGGCAAAAATGGCTTCCCCTTAAGGGAGATTGAATATCTTCTCCAAGACATCCACTTGGAGAAGTGTATGGGAAAATGTTAATCTTGTCTAGAACAGAGAAGGGCTGAGCTCAGCCCTCATCCAGCTTCACCATCTTACAACCAGAGGAGGCATAAGTCTGTTACCTAGAAGGGAAACCTTCTCCTTACTCGCCTCTGCCTCACCAAAGCCCTGGCTGAGTGCACGGAACCACAGAGGAGGACACACACCCCTCTCATTACTGTTTTGAGCTACTGCAGAGCGCTGGGGCAATAGCTTCTACACTATAACCAGAAATTCCACAACAAGCAGGGAGAAAAACACACTTAAACTTTCAACTTCAAACAGCAACTCAGCTGCTCCTCAAGCACAGCGTGAGTGAACATGATTTTGTCAATTTGTTCCATCTGTTCAACTTGTGCAGCTAATACAAGTCATGGGATCTGCTGCCAGCATATGTAAAGATCACAGCCAACACCTATTCACTCTCAACTGTTATTTTCCTCCTTGCTGCCCTTCAAGGGGGAGGGAATACCTCACAGCAGAAATTTGGATCAGATTTAGTACAGGAAGCCACATCCCAGTACAAGGAGGCTCTGTGCAAGCAGATGACAAACCGCATGTCCAGGGAAGGGAAGAAAAAGGCCGGGGGAGTGGTGGTGGAGGAAATCATCGACCCACCTCACAGCTGGGCTGAGGAGCTGTAATGAAAACCATCGCTGCAGGCTGGATAGGTTAGCTACAGCTGTACTGAGATAAGAGCACTGGAAAAGAAAATGTACCCAGCTGACACTGTCTCCGGGACACAGTACCCATTCCCATTGACAAGTTCATCCTCTCTTCCTTAGAAAACTGCCTCCCATGCTGTCTCACTAAACCATGTCAAATCATGTGAAGCCAACAGGCTGAGAATCAAATTATGAAAGAAGCCTGCCAGATCTCTGCATGCAGTCCTCTAGCACTGTTCTGGGAGGATGACAACTTGCCATCAGGTTTTCTGACATCACCAAAGGACTTTGAGGTTCCCTTTCAAAAAAGCACTGTTTGCTGGCACTGCAGACAGGGGAAACATTCGTAAGAGTATGCAAAAATACCAATCCATCCCTTCTGTCCCATGTCCAGTTCCATATCAGTTTCTCACAAAGTGGCCAGGTGAGAGTATTTGGGCTATCATATCAGTGACAAGAAACACCATGACTTTGGAAAGTGAAGAGGATGCAGTCAAAAAAGCACATGGAAAAGAAGGAGATGACCTAAGAACAGTGTAACTTCCATTAGAAGTGTCTCCCTTCCACAGAAGGAGCACACAAACTGCTATGATGGACAACATCTCAGGGCAGAGCTTTCACACAAACATCCTACCCCTGTCAGGGGGTTCCACAGACACAATAATAAATAAATTCATTGGCATCTGACATGCCAATTTGAGGTTGCAAAAAAGGCATGTACTTGGAAACATTACTGCAGTGGGTGAAAACTCTCACGTCTCCACCACATCCCCCTGCTCCCCTGTTCTCAAAAGTTTGGCCATCCTTCAAACCCTGCTCCCTTTTACAGTTTTACTCTTCAGCTAGCTTAAACACTATGTTTCAGATCATTTTATAACTCACCTTGCTGAAACTGAAAGTCTACAGAAAGAATCTTAAGAAACCATTGGCAATCATACTTAATTTCTGAAGAATTTCAAACTTGCAAGTAAAATATGCCATTACACTTTGAAATTTGTAGTAGACTTTGCTGCCTTCAAAGCAAACATGTTCATAACAATTATTTTAGTAGATATTTAATCTATCATAAATGGGATAAACTATACATTTCTGGGCAGAAAGATGAAAGTATCTTGCTCACATGTTTCTGCAGAAAAGTTATTGAAATTAAAGGAATTTTTAAAACTTTATATGTGGGATTTTTTCACATAAGCAGTCACTTTTGCTTAGTGCTTCAGAAGAAAGTGACAATATAGAAAATTAGGTGAGAGTGGGGTTGAGGAAGGAGTTCCTACTGGCTCATGTGAGCAGCTGCCACCTTGAAACACCAGATAAGATTTCCCTTTGCAAAAACAAGCCTAATTAGAAGCCATCAGGGAATCCAAGCTACCTCATTTACATTTGATCACTAACAAAAGCAATGTTAACATTTACAGCTTAAATGAATGATTAGTGTGAACTTTTCTTCTATTTCATTTTCAGTAACAGAAAATACAGTAACATAAACAATACTAGAAAGCAAAATAAGAGAGATCTCTGAAAAGAGAAGTGCATGAGGCAGAAGGCACACTCCACTGCTATTAGATGAGGAAGAATGCACAGCTAAACCAAGGGTGCCTTGTTGGTGAAAAATGGTTGTTCACATGTTGTTGCATCCTTCATTCTGCTGGACAAATGTGTGCATGTCAGAAGGCCATCTTGAGCCATTAACCTCTGGCACTGGATTCACAGTCAAGTCAGCAGGAATTAGCCATGAAGGTCAAAGCTGTTCCTGCTTCGATTATCCAGCCCTTCCAACACATAAAACTATGCCAGTAGAACTGCTCTACCTCACAGAATCCAGCCTAAACATATGCGTTGTTTGCAAATTCTCTCTTCATCTTCCCTTGACTCTTTTGGCATCAGCCACAGCTGGTAACAATCAGGTGTTATCAGGTGTTATTCTGCCTGTTAGTCTGCACCTTTCAATAATTCCCCAACTATGACAAACATGGCAGCTTTTAGTCCAACAGTCTAGCACCCCCCTGTAACATCAATTCCCTGTACCACTCGAAAATATAATCTCTTTTATTGATACATCTCAACATCTTCCTTTACAGCCCTGTGAATGAAGTATCACACCCTGTGCCTGCAACTTTACAAAGCAGCAGGGTTGCATTAATTGTGACCTCCTCAGAAAAGGTAGGGAGGACAGGTAAGGATACAGACCTAAATGCTAATTAATAATCATAACGTTTAATTCTAAAGCTGTGTGTGATCAAAAGACTGATCCATGGCCTGTCACAAGACTGGCATGTCACATGGACCACAGCAAGTCACTTCAGCTCCCTGGAGTCACCCTGACTACTCTACTGTAACACTTTATCTCCATGCAGCCCCTAAGTATGCCCCGGGACCAGGAATACATACAGCTCCTCTAGTGGAAGAAAAGCAGAGGACAAATAAGGATAGGCTGGCTAATGTGGACTGGAGGGGAAAAGTAACTATGTGCTGAGCTAAGTACAGAGTAGGAACAGTGCTATGAGAAGAGCATGTTTGCAAAGGACACACACAAGCATGGACACACAGTGTGAGGGGACATGCAGGCCCTTGGCCACACAAACAATCCGTAGTGCAAGAGGGACACAAAGGATTGCAAAGAGGACAGGGAGGCACCCAAAGTGAAAGAGGTTTGGTAAAGCATGCGGTGCGCCTGACAGAGGGGCACTTGGAACGGGAGTACTCCTGGGAGTAGCACCAAGTGGGCCAGCCTCCAGCATTTCACTTTGAGCAGCCTGCAAGGGAGCAGATCCAAGGGCACGTCCTCCTGACTTTATCGTTGGCAGACTGTGCTGAGGTTGAGCACTAATAAAGCTTCCTGAACACAATCTCAGATTTCCATCTCCCTCATGGGGGAGGGGGAAAAAGAGAAAATCAGGACACCAGATAGACTTTTTCCTACTGTTTTGGAACAGCAGCAAAAATAACCACAAAAGAAAAAAAAAAGTAAACAGCAGCTTTAAGAGAATTTGGAAAAGCATGTAGAAGGACTGCTTAGAATTCTAGCAAGTATAGTAAGGTTCCAATCCAGCAAACATCTAGCTACGTTGAATTTTCTTCCCGCCAGTAATGCCATCCTTTACAGCTCAATATGCTTATGCGAGCAAAATATTTTAAATAAAGCTTCCAGTAAGTAGACTGCAATGAATGGATCCAATGTATTTAAAAAACATTAAAAATCCCCAAAGTTAATAGCTGAAATACTGCTTTGCATTATTCAGGAATGTATTAACACATGGGAAACCTCATTTTGTGTAGATTTGTCACTTACATGCATCTGCTTTCCTAATATTGTTCAATATATTTTCAGAAGGAATAAAATACATCAGATACTGACAGTTACTTATATGTTCTCTAAGAATCACAGGCTGCAGTGGTCATCTGTACACAATTAATTTTAAAATTTACAGAAATTTACAGTCTCACCAGGTCAGCACTTTTTTTTTTTTTTTTTTTTTTTGCAAACACTTCCTAGAAATTCTCCCAATAAAAAGATATAGATAGGACCACAGCAATCCTGGGCAGGGTATGTTGGCTGTTAAAGTATCTTCAATATTCAATTACTTGGTTTCAATATAATTATTATCATAGTACCTGAAAGGCCATGCCTTCTCTTGTTTTTCCCCACCCTGTTACACTTCAGCACAGAAAAGCAGCACCACAGAAAGGGTGAGTGTAGTTGATTAGAAACTCGGACTATGCAGTAAGTTCCTAGCCCAATAAAACACATGAGCCACACTGAGTTTTCTTCATGCCAGCAGTCCCAGTTGTAGCCAACAAGATCACTCAAGAGCTGAAAGTTAAGTCGGTGTCAGAATACATCATTGGGTAGGGATTTTTCATTCACTGATCTGAAAACACTCACCAAATATTTATTTACCCAAGACACAGGGCCATATTCGGCCATAATGCATAACGCCTCATCAATTGCTTACACATGACTGGCATGGATATAATCCCTTAAAGCTTCATAACTGTCTTACTAGGGAGTAAACTTAACACAAAGAAAACAAGTGACATAGAGTGGGACCACACATGGGTTCAAAGCAGCACCTAGGCATTCTCCCTACTGCTCAGAGCCTTTAACTGTGTGACTGAATTACAGCAATACCACTATGAACAACTGCTCTTTCTGAGCCAAACAAACTAGGGAAAGTTTCTGTAATGCTCTCTTACCTTGCAGCCAGTCTCGAAAGTAGTGCAACCACATTTTGGGGAGCTGCCTATCCTCTTCCAACAAAACATATGCCACGTTGCTGAAACTTCTGTGAAGTTCATAAAGTAACTGCTGGACATTTGGATAGTCTGCTTTCTGTGTCACAATATACATGTTGTAGAATGAAAAGTACTTGAACTGTGCAGCAATAAAGTCGTATTCTCGTGTTTCCCGTGGTACAATGTCTGTGAGATCTAGTCCATCTCTTACCCGGGTAGTTCCATAAAGGCTGAGCCCAAGTAAACCCAGAAAAAGAAAAATAACCACAATCTGCAACAGAGAACAGAGATGTATTTGGTTTTCGGCTTCTAAAGGAACTAACAATTCATAATGTCATATTACAGAGCCAAAGTCAAAATTAACATCCATCAGTACTTTCAAGCTTTTATTTTTCTGGTGCTTTTTCATGCATATACATACTACAAGACTAAAGTAATTTGTTCTTCCTTGAAGGGGCTCTGCATCATGGATGAGAAATTTCTATTGTAGTAAAGTTTGAAAGTGACATTAATTTCACTGTTCACAAGCTTATGTTACTCAAAGTCACCAGCACCTTCACTTATAACGTATATTTTAGGTATGTGTCCATACCACTTGCAAGATAAAACTTATTTTATAAGAAACCAGCTGTAAATTATTAAAAACTGTTATTTCACAAGAGCTGTATTTATTCCTTATATTTAAAACCATTGCTAGGATATTTTTTTAAAACTGGGCAAGGCAGAAATCTAATTTTGAAACCCAGGTAAATAGATCCCCCGATTACCTTAGCTTTTGGTTTTAGGAGGAATGGAGCATAATGCTTTTCTGCAAAAGATGAGAGTGTCCACTTTGCACAGGGTTGCTCAAGGCAATGTATACTGGAGTCTGAGAATTGGGAAAGCAAATCCCTCGTCGAGCTTGTGCTTTCTGGGCTCTGGCAGCTCAGGTTATCTTGTGTCACTGTCACTGGCTGCACAGATATTTCTGAGCGGGGCTCTGCTGTGGTGTAGTACACCTGCGTGTGAGGATCATATTCTGTGCGCAGCTGCACTGTGGACTGCATTGTAATCTGGGTTTCATGTGCAAAACTGTGGCTGCTGTACGGGGGTGGAGGACTGTAGCAGGTATTGTCATTTTCTGCATAAGCTTGAGGCTCAACCTGAATCACTCTGGTGACACACGGGCTGTAAGAGAAGAAAAAGCCATCTGATCGCATTGAGACAGATCCTTATTTTAATTGGGCTAGATAGGATAACATGCTTTCATCTGAGATTCTTTTCTACTTCTACCAGACAGTTTACACTAATTACGTGTACCACTTAGACATTAATTGCATTCTGTGCATTTAGGAAACATCTCTCAGCTATGGTTCATAGTGTAAGCTCCTGAGAATACGTGCTAATTTCTTGTCCTTCAGGAAGAAGGAAACAGCATCTGTCTGAAGACATTGACATGTACACACATCACTCCAATAATTACACATGCTCATCAGGTAGTTGTACAGTCTGAATGCACACTAAGTCTGTGAGTCTGCATCTCTATACCCACACTGAGAATTAAGATATTTAGAGGAAGAGGGAAATGCATGACATAGCTAGTTCTCGTGTTTAGAAGAAATGAAGTAACTGTTAAATGATATTTGAGCATTCTGGATAAGATCTCAGACTTTTGGGAGGCAGGTTGAAATGATTTGCCATATACTGACTGAATATTTTATAAATCAGGAAAATGTTACAGTATTAATTAAAGGATTAATTCCTAGAAAGGATGGGCCATATGAAGAGAAAAAACCACAGAAGTAATTGAAGTATTCCCTTTATTTTAGTCTATGCAAGACCCTAGCAGTTACCTAGTTTATATTAAAAAATGATAATTATCAGAGACAAGCCTATTCCTGTACATGAGAAACGACAAATGGACAATACTAAACAGTATCAAATATTTTTCATCAAGTGCACAAATCCTACAAAAATTAGACAGAATTCCTCTAATTTGCCTACCTAATCAAAGCAAGCTCTCACTAACTGCATTTCTTCAGATGCAAAAGGGCTGAATTCTGATCCACATTTGGTGCAGCTTTGGATGAGGGAATAAATGGAAGGTCTGAGTGTCCTGAATTCTTGAGAATCAGGGCTCCAACACCCTAATACATTCAGCTGTTCTCTGGAACTATGACTGAATAAGAAATAGCTTGGGATCCACTCCCTGTTTTAACCATTATCTCAGAGACAAATTTAGTAAAATGTTTTCTTCCTTTGACATTAAATATTAAACTATTGGGTCCTGGATGCATGTAAAGGGTTAAAATGTCCCAATGAAGATTCTCTACATCTTGGTTTTGATAGTATGAGTACATGTGTGGAAGTGTAGCTCATCCTCTTCATTGCAGTCAAAAGCAAAAACTAAGGTAGAAAAGATGTTTGGTTTCCAAGCAGTGGCTCCACCAACGACAGCAGACTCCTAACCCCCATTATAGGCTCAGAGTTGGCTGTGTATCAGGTGAGAGTGTGTTTGTACGTGCTTTAGAATGGCAGTATTACCATTCTGTATTACTACTGCACCCACAAAGGACACTTTATCAAGCATTATCCTGTAATGGTAGTGATTATTCCTTATAGTGCTATGAAAAACTCCCCTAAGGGGAAGTAATTTCACAGTTTATTTATTTAAGTTTAAAGGCATAAATGCATAAAATTTAACATATCATGATTTACTGTAAGTCAGGCTTCTCAGTATCCTGAGTTATGTACACCTTTCCAAGATTAGCTAATACTGGCACTGGACACCTTGCAGTAAGTCAAAACCTTCTAAAATACTTCAAGATATTCCTCAAGTGGGTCTTTCATCTGCTTTCAGAAAGTTGTTCTCCAACAGTCAAAATGAACATATATAGAAATGAAGGGAAAAGTGTGGGGGAAAGGGGATATGGGGGAAGAGAGGGAGACAGATATACTTCAGCTTTTCCCTTCAGGCAGGTAAAAAACAAGGTAGCAAATGTAAGCCAGTCACTAGCAATGAAATGGTAACAATAACATGCTGATCCCACTTTAGTGAAGAACTCCCACACTTGACAAGGAATGGATGCACTGATTGGTGACCACAGAGAGGACAAAGCTGCTGCTAACTCTCACCTTGTAAAACAGCAAAATATATCCAGTCTCCTGTCCTCCCGACGGTAAAGGTCCATGCTCAGGATAGCAGGAAAAATCAGCAGAACCATAGCAAAATTGAACACCACCACAACAGCTGCCTAGAGACAATCACAGGATAAGTAACGCTGCTAAACTTCATCTAGGGCATCAGCTTTACAAAGCATAAAAATCCCTTTCAATTCTCATCCCCATTTACCATTACAATCCATCTGATGCTTTCAAGCTTTTGCCTGAGCAAACTGAGAGATTATATTTTCCCATTTCATTATGGAAGGACTATTGTGATGAATTAATTTAATACTCAGCCTCGGATTATTATAACACATCTGTGCCTGGATACGTGGTGATTATTTTTAAAGAGGAAAAACAGCCTGTTGACTCAGTAATCATATTTTTACACAAAACTCTGACATATTTAGAGTCTCAAAGAAAATAAAATGGAAGATAACCTGAAACTAGAACTGAAGGTCTTACATTTATGGGATCTGAAGCAATTTAAGTATCACAATAATATTAAAGCATGTTATTAAATCAGAAAATTAGATCTCAGTAAATTTTAAAAAACTATCACCTTAGTGAAATATTGTGCACTTGATAGTCTTACTTAAAAGTTTAGCCAAGAAAGAGCAATATTTTGAGTTTATCAGGGATTATTTTTTAAGTACAATCAAAACTAAATCAACACCACACAGCAAATATATGTATTAATATGTCTGTGTTTAACAGAGCTTGATTTATAAGCCAGTCTACCAAAATGAGTCTTAAATTGGAACAAGAATACTTGATTTAATTTGTAAAGCAAGTATCACATAATGAAAAAAACAACCTCCCCGCCCACCCCCTTTCAAACCATACTCCAAACCCTTTCCCACACAGAGATTCCCAGAGAATTTCCATAAACATATGTGGCGCAGTATCTATCATTATTATTGATAGCATTTATTTGTAATGCAGAATTGTTAGGAGCCCTACCCATCACAAAGGGAAAGCTGGGCACTGGGAACTGGAAGAGGGTTGTAAGAGTAGGAGAAACACTGGGAAAAAAAAATTTCAGCCACCAACCAATGAAAAGAAAAAACCCTTTGAAAGCCTTATGTTTTACCCATTTGGTAAGCAGCAATCTCAATGCTAGCCCAGTTTCATATATATAGATAGACCAGCTATCTATATATAAACTGTCAAGTTCTTCCACCTGTGACTTCTGAAATAATGGCTACTTGGGTTAATACATTCTTAAAGAGCAGCAAAAGTTGGGCTACAAAAATGACCCAATATAAATGTGATGTCCTTTTTCCCAAAATAAATATATGGTTTCTTTTGATCTTGAGAGATCAGACCTCAAAACTGGCAGTACAAACAAATTTATCTGCAAAAATCAAAGTAATAACACTCTGAATGATTTTTACAGTTTTGAAATAGTCAGAATATAATAAAAAGCTTAGATATTGTTTTACTGTTCTTAAAATGACAGAATTGACTAGTTATGTAAATATTTTCTAGTAATTTCAATCATAAATAAAGTGCGTACAAAAGCTGGTTTTATTGCTGTTTCTTTTTCCTGACCTCCAGCCTGCTTGAAGTAAGATTTTAGTACTGCTGGTTGTCTGCAGACATGGCTACTAAAACAGAATTTACCTGGTACTTGAAGCCAAATTAGTATTTAGTCATCTTTGTGAGAAAAGATCCAATGATTATTTAATGATTTATAAATATTCACACAGAAAGGTATGCAAGGTCATAGCCAAGACTTTAAAACTTTAAAATCACTGAAGACTTTAAGTGATTTGCTTTTGATCTGTTCTAGAATTAATTCAATCTGTCAGAAAAACAAATGGCTGCTGTTGAAAGAAAGGTGTTTGTTGGACCTCGTTCTTACATTTGCTTTCTTTGCTGGTGCTAAACCAAAAAGAGGTTGAATCACCCATATAAAATGAATAATTAGTTGTGCCTAACTAAGATCTTGTATCAAGGATCAGCTAAGATTTACTGAGATTTGGAAAAAATAGTTGAGGTCTGAGTCAATAATTCTTACTCCTCTCAGCATGGCTGAAAAACTAACAGAAGTCCTCTGTTTCTGCTCTATAAGCTGCAAATACTTCATGCCATATCAGTTCCCTTTCTAGACCTCAACATCCTTGAATCACCAATATTATTGAATCTGAAAAGTAATACTTAACTGTGTGGTAGAGATGCCATTAAGGATAGGTATATTGACATTTGATTTTTTTAGGAAGCATCAAAACTAATCCAACAACACACAGTAAATCTGACTACTTACATCTCTTTTCAGAACAACTAGATTTTCCACTGTGCCATCCTAGTGCTGATGTACTAACTGCCCTGCAAGTAAGATATTTCAAAACAATCTCTGTTCTGATTTTAATTTTAATAGATTCCTAGTGCTTAATGTTGCATTACCTATATATTGCACGCTCTATCTCACCCACCCTAACTCAGTGTTACAAGGATTAGTTGTTCTCAGCTTTCACAACTGAGTTCTTGTACAAATTCTAATACATTGTCCCATCAAAGAAACCCCACCCTCTGACTTGATAAGGAGAGGAACGGATGAATTACTGAAGAGTGATTCAGTCCCTGCCCTGATGCATCTGCCACTGCTGCCCTCCCAATGCCGTTCATACACACAGTGCTGCAGAACAGGGAAGTACAAGCACTGAGGTTCTGACAGCAGCCACAATCTGTAAACACAACAAGGAACTGCGGCAGCTGAGCTTCCTGAGCACAGACAGCACCCAGGATTAGGATTTCTGAGAACAGGGCATCTTCTCTCGCAACTTTGGAGACCAAATGGGACAGAAAAAGGCCTCAGACCTTTTCCTTGGGAAATCAGTGAAAGTAAGATTAGCCTAGGAAGAATAAAATGGGACCTACTCAAGGGTGTAAAATGAAGGCATTCAGTGAAATGAGATCAGAGAGCAGTAAAAAAATTCCATTAATCAGGCAAAAATTATGTCGGTCACTTCCTGAGAAACATGCTACAGTTTTTGCATCTTTTCATAATGCACAGCTTAAAAATATTATTGCTGCTGCAACTGTTAACAGAGACAGAAGAATGGCAGTCTGTGCTGGAGGCAGCAAGGGAGCAGGGAGCCAAGCTGGTAGGTATGTGCTGGGGCCCCGCTGAAGTATGTGCTGCTATGTGCCATTCCTGGCAGCCCACCCAAGGAGACCGGGTGTGCTGTATAGCCAGAGGTGATAAACAGATGAGGAGGCCTGTCAGGAAAACTTCCACCCTACTGCTCTCTATCTGCAACTCCCTCCTGATATGGCACAGGCTCAGATCCTCGTCCCCTTCCCCCTTTTCCCTTAGGCTTTAATTCTGCTTGTTAAATTCTCATGTCAGGGGCAGGGAAAGGTAAATGGTGTGGATAAAGGTGGGGGACGAACCACTTCAGCAGAGTAAGATAATGGAAAGAGCTTAAAAGCATACTTTCTTTCCCTCCAGAAACCCACCACTGCCACCTGGTAATGGACTTCTGCATTTAGGGAAAAAACTTGTCATTCTTGTGGTGAGGGAAAAAGTAATTTCTAACACTCCTTGGGAAAAGTTCCACCTCTGCTCACTGGTGGATCCACACCACTCCTCTGCTGCTGGGGAAAGTAGTTTCTGATGTAAGACAGAAGAAGTTGATAAATTTTTTTACCTTATCTTTCCTGGGCAGAGCTTACGGTGTGACAGTCTCTGAACAGTCTGTCTTAGGAAATAATACAGCCCAGAGGTAGTTAGACTCCACCATGACTTCCTTCACTTATACTCAAAACAAAAGGCTGTTCGTAAGACATTCCTATTGCAAGCTTCAAAACTTTCAGTGGATTTCTCCAATAACCTCTTCCTTCACCACCATTTTAAGAAACAAAACACGTCTGAAATTCAGGAGCTACTCCTTTAGTGTCTTGAGCACTCTTAGAGATGATTCTTATGACTGAGTATTTAGGTCATATTCAGTGATCTCAAAGTCCTAAAACTGCTCAAAAAGGGGGCTAATAAGATTAACAAATTAAAAAAAAATAGAACAGGAAAAGAACTAAAACAGTCCCTACTTGTGCATGTAATTAACTTCAAAGATCTCACTTTCAAAAGAACGAAATTCCACTTTTTAAGTTTTGCAAAGAGCTAACCCTAGCAGACTCTTAAGACCCCATCAGACTCGCAGTGTTCAAGTTCCATAAAGTAAATAACCAGCTCAGAGGTATCAATGAACTGCTTTAACTGGCAGAATATGACAGAAGCTAAGACAGAAGAAGGCACTAATGTGCAAAACATGAGTTTCTAACTAGTTTATCTTACAGATGCAGGAAATTATTTATTCTCCCTCAGCAGCCAGGTTATTTTACCAATACTGGGCCTCAAAATTATGCAAAGGTCGACAATTACCTTGTAATGTCTTAAGAAAAGTGAATGAAGAGCAAAACAAGGTCAAGAGCAATCCTTCTTTTTCAAGCCCCTCTGTTAAAAATTCATTATCTAGATGAGAAGGTGGTAGTATCTGTGAAAAGTAAATGCAGCAGTATTTTATTGCTTTTTAAGTCTTGCTAGGAAACCATCAAAGACAGCAAGGACTTCTTGTTTAAACAAGTCTGAGTAAGAGGGAGAGAGAGGAAGGAGACTGTAAATAAAGAAATCCATAAAAAAATACAGACCACCCACCAAAACTGCCATGATTCTCTGATTCCAAGTACTGAGATCAAAGTATCACCTGATTTTGATTTTACCTTGTGAAGCTAGGCAAAGCAACTAGATGTTCCTTCCTAACAACAAAGGATTTCATTTTAGTGGCTGCTAACTTATAAGTGTATCAGTCATATATGCAGCTCTGACATCAATGAATATAAATTGCCCACTGCTCCTCCTTTGCACGTTTCACCTCTTATATACAGGGCTACTGTGTTCTAGCAAAGAGAAATTACCAAGTGAGAAAAGTTTGGGTAATTCAAACCCTAATTTCTGGACACTCATGTGGGTTCCTACACATAAATTCCGTATTAATCACTGCCTTATAAAAGATGTTGATGTTTTTATTCTGAATAATATCAACATGTTCATACAATAATACAGCATGTTGAAATCTCACTGGAAGCTTTTTGTTTGTCATTTTGCTATGCAGACTTTATTTTAAACTTTCAGTGACTCAGTCTGTAGCATGGCAATAGGCAAAAATAAATTACTTTAGGACAGGCATATGTAAGTTAGCTGATTATACTACCAATTACAGCTGTTGTCTCCACGTATGTTCCAAAGACAACCTGTCACATTGTGACATTGAGTGAAAACATGTAAAAAAAAAGAGCAAAATTTGATCAGATAGGAGAGAATTAATATCGGTGGATCACACTCAACAACTCAGCAATGAGATTACAACAAAATGGCAGATTTGTGTTGAATATTTCTTTATGAAATGCATTTAGGCTGATGCAACTTCTTTAGAGCAGGTACTACAGTCTGATGACCTCCAGTATCCTGTTAGCGGCTGAAGGTACCTGTCAAATATTTGAAACTGGGACACAGACTTTAGAGACATAAATAACTTCTTCGAGTGGAAGAAGTGATATACTACCAAAAGTATTTCATGTATAAAGTTTAGTCTTTACCATGCAAATGTCATGAGGATCAACAAAGCCAAGCACATGGTCCTGCACCTGCACTTGGGTTATGCTATCAGGTCAGGCTGGGGATGAACAGGAGAGCAGTCCTGCCCAGAAGGACTTGGGGTGCTGATGGGTGAGAGGCTGGACATGACCCAGCCATGGGCACTCCCAGCCCAGAGAGCCAAACGTGTCCTGGGCTGCATCCAGAGCAGCGTGGGCAGCAGGGCAGGGAGGGGATTCTGCCCCTCTGCTCTGCTCTGGGAGAGCCCACCTGGAACCTGCATCCAGCTCTGGGCTCCCAGCACAGGACATGGGAGCACAGCACAGCACAGGAAGGACATGGACCCACTGGAGTGAGTCCAGAGAAGTGTCACAAAGGTGATTTGAGGGATTTAACATCTCTCATGTGATAAAAGGCTGAGAGAATTTGGATTACTCAGCCTGAAGAAGAGAAGTTTCTGAAGGGACCTTACAGAAGCCTCTCAGTACCAAAAGGGGGGCTACAGAAGGTTGGAGTGGGGCTTTTCACAAGGGGTAGGGACAAAACAAGAGGAATGACTTTAAACTGAAAGAGGGTAAATTTCAATTAGATATAAGAAAGAAGTGGTTTTTAAAAATTTGGGTAGGAAAACACTGGAACAAGTTGCCCAGAGAAATCTAGTTAAAGATGTCTCAGCTCAGGGTGTAGGGGACAGGGTTGGGCTAGATGACCTTCAAAAAGTCTGTTACAACTCAAGCTATTCTGTGATTCTATAAAATAAAACATATGATCATATGATCAGTAAGAAGAGACATCTAGGTTTTGGCAAATCAGCAGAGCTAAACACTGCTTACTATTCAAGGCTAAACATCTAGGTTTAGTTGCCACAGGCATCTGCTAAATGATAAAGAAAACCAATGAGGCCGGTACATTCTCTATTATTCTCTATCAAATTGCCTATTGAGAAGGAAAAGTAAACAAATTATTAATGCTTCAGGTTTTAGCTTTTGTGTTTTTCATATTCTGTATTATTAGTAACATAACTGCAATCACAAGCAGTTCACCATTTTACAGTTTAATGCAGGCATACTTAAATCTCTGAGAACAGCAATAACTGCCACATGTATTAGGAAAAATTGCAGCCTGCTTCCTCTGGGTAGCCAAGGCCTCAATGAGAATAAAAATCAATGGAGAACCAGGCCAGAGAAGAAGAAAAATAACTATTGAAATAGTACAGCGCTATAAATTGCTAGTGTCAGGGGAAAAACTTCCAAATCTTTCTTCAGTCTTCACTTTTAGAAGAAATCCTTCTCCAATATCATAAATATTTCATGTTTATGAAGGTACATTATCACAAACAAATACAAGAAGACAGAGGAAGGCAGGGCAAGCAATGCATGGTTCAGCACATAAAATTCACATTTTCTTTGTACCCATCTGGAACACAATTATTAAGCTTTCTCCAAGTTTGCTAAAATTACTGTAAGGCAGTAAAAAGTGCTACAGCAATTATTAAAATTACAAATTCATATGTACTGCTGCAATTGCACTAGTAGTTTTGAAGAGCAGCAAACTGGACAAACATGAATGAAAGGATTAAATTGCTGCTGAGAAACAGTACAGTACACACTACACTACGGCCTACTCCTCTTGACTTTAGAACACAAATCCCTCTGGGAACTTGTTTCTTCTTAGTTACATATAGCTTGGGTTCTGCATTCAACCCAGCTGTGGTGGGCCAGAGTATTCTTTCACCTGCTAGCAGGATGTGAGAGACTCTGCGGATGAGAAAAGGGAGCAGGAGAATGGAGAGCAGACAGCAGCTGTTACTGCCTGGGTCTGTGGTACTGCTGCAGTGAGTTGTGGCTCAGTGAACCACAGGAGCACCAAAATCAGGCTTCAGTGCTACCACCAAGTACGATTATCACACTTCCACAGGGCATCAGAGCTAACAATGGGTAGCTTACTTGGATATAAAGGTTATAAACTTACTTGGAGTGAAAATGCTCTTAAAGCTGGAATAGGAATTAAGGCAGCCATAAAGAAAGCAGTAACATTGCTGATAGATGTAAGGGCTACACTTGCTCCTGTTCGCTTCAGACATTCACCTGTTCTGTCCTGCAAAACAAAGGATGCATCTTAAAAGTCAGGCGAATAAGCTGATGTCCTGCAAATGATGGGGTCATCCTACAGATGTAACAAAGTACCAGTGATAAATTATCACAATTAAATTCTGAATATAAATTCAGGGTATGTGAGAAAACTACATAGCAAGTTTACTGTTTGGTAGGAACACAGATGAATTGCTCAAGTTTTTGAGGGCAGAAAACATGACTAGAATTGATTCTAGCTTCAGAACACAAAACTAAATGGATGCTGACAATATATCAAATACATCTGCTGTTGAGAAGGATTTAATTTTTACCAGTAGAATCACTTAGTGTTCTCGTTTTTCAGACAAAATAAGTATCTATTAACAGCAGAGAGGCATAACATAGCCACACATCTTGAAAAAATATGTCACAAAACAAACAAAACAAACAAAATAACTCCACCAAGTCTAGGGACCACACACAAAACCCACCAAGAAATCAAGATAAACACATGACCCTTTCCTAACCCAATAGGCTATTATGAAGCAGACAGAGGTTATCGAGTGAGGTTGCACTACCTGCATACAAAACCAGCTGGAGAAAGCACATGGAAGACTGCTCATACAAAACAAAATTAGCAAATATGCACTAGTTTTAAATGGAATGTACTTGGGATGTGAAAATTTGGACTGAGACTAAAAATATTAATAAAGGTAAAGGATCATAAAAGTGATGATGCCTTAGATTTCCTGTCAGTTATATGTTACGCTTTGAAATGTCATGGTCAATAACAAACTTCAGAAAATAAAAACAAGCGAAAAATACAGAAAATAACTCAATTTTAGGGCCATAAAAAAAAGTAAAGGTAACTGTCTTCCCTCTCTTTCCTCCTTATCTCTTCTATTTATGTGTTCTTTTATTACAATCATTTTATCATCTCATTATCAAGACTCCTATTTGAGTTTGTTCCTAGATTTGCATTAATTTTCACTGAAATTTTTGGCAGAATTTGGATTATGGAAGTTTGTCTTTATATAACAGTTTATAAATTTAAATTTCAAGATTAAATAAACCTAAGACACTAAAAAAAAAAGGAAATAAGAATATCAACATTCAAAAATTGCCCTAGGACCACATGTATTGCTATAATTTCGTATTTGGACAGAAATACGAATTTCTAAACCCTAGGAAAAGTATTAAAAAAACCCCAACAACTCCACTGATTAATTCTGGATATGAGTATCTGTTCCTATATGAAACTTTTTGTTTTATTTTCCTGCAAATCTCCATTTTGTCATTACCTCAAATGGAATTCTCTTATTCTGTCCTGTTTCACTAAATGCATGTGCCAGAAGGAAAACATCATCTACACCAACTCCAAGAGCAAGAAAAGGCAAAACCTTGGGAAAGAAACAAAACAAAACCCAAATAGAATGTGTTATGATCTGCCACGCAGCTAGCCATTAAATGGCTAATTATAGCAACTTTTACATTACACTCTACACAAATCCAAGGGTAAAATGAAAATGGAAATGATGCAATACAGGTATTAACTTTTATTCTGGAATGTAGCTGAGGAATTTAAAATATACCATAAACAGGCACAAATTCTCACCAGAAGTAATTTAAGTTTCAGATAGACAAATATCTGATAATAATTCAAGTTACATTCTAAATATTTTCAGAATTTGAACATCCTGGTATATTCAGATGTAAAAAAAAATCTGCAGCTCCTTAGATACTTAGGATGCCTCCACTTGTACTGGGACACAGAAAAACCTAACAAGAATTATACAGATTACATAACACCTGTTTTTTCTTCAGTATCACTTGTCAGCATGATAATTTAATTTACCACAGCATAAACTGTGAAATAGGAAAACAGTAAAGTAAAAATTTAGAGACAAAATATTTTTTCAGTACTTTACTTCTCAAAGATTGACTTGTGTTCATTCATTAACAGAGTACTTGCAATTTAACAGCAGACTTGTGTCTTCTAAATACCTGAGTTGTGGCAGCATTAAAGGAAATTCCGATCAACGAGCACAGGCCCAATCCTGCAGCCACAGAGAGTGCAACCAACAAGACTCCTGCCAGCCCCACAGCACCCTGAGACTTGGCACAGTCCCACCGCAGCATCGTCAAACAGGCATAGGCAAGCTAAGGAGAGGAGGCAGGGAGGGGAATTTGGGGGGAAAAAAACCAAAACATTAGAATGGATCCTCATCTATCAGCTGTCTCTCCCCATCCACCTACAGATCCTTACACAATTTTTAATCAGAATAGACATGTCACAAAGGTTACAAAGTGGAACAGGTGAGAAGCCTGAGGTAAAGTTTACAAACTGTAGGTTTTACTTTAAATATTTGTAAAATACTCGACTACAAACTGGTAACAAGAAAGTATATTTTTAAGCCTTGCTCTACTACCAAAGAAAATTAAAAAGATTTATTTTATTACCATTAGTAAGTAGCCACTAGCTACTCGGATAGCACTGACATCAGAAAATGACTTCAAGATGTCATCCAGGGTGGTCGTAGTGAAGGAAAGCACCTTCTGAGTAGAATTTTGTGCAACACTTTGATGAACAACCTATGAAAAGAAAAATAAAACTTTGTGTGAATAAAGAATTTCTTTGTTTTATTTTAGTCATTTAGTCAAAAAAAGTCATTACCATCTTCTACAGCACACATCTGAAATCAAATCTTTTTTGCCTGAATGTTCCTGCTATAAAGCCCATGCTCTACACAGACATTACGCTGATGCGATAAAACACTGATGGTGTTTCCTGATTTTTTTCTGGCAAGCTGCTGATTATGAGACAGAATTTGAGCACCTTCAGGAAAGCCTACTGCATGCCCAGCTCATTACAAATACTTAACTTGAACCCCTTCCTGTAACTCCACAACAGAGTACCAGTTCTGCACTTAACCCAGGCCAGCCATGTCTCTGCCCCTCCCTGCCTGGCCATTTGCAGAGGTCAGGAGGAGTGCAGTGGAGGGCAGGGTTTGGGACACAGAGGGCAGGCCTTTTCACACAGCCTCCTCACCTGGGCTGCTGTTGAGGGAGCAGCCCATGGGTGGCTAATATTTTCCAGACACCTTTAGAATAATCGCCAACCAAAAGCTTTTAAATTCCAGCTAGCGCTTTGGTTTCTTCTCAGCCCCACCTAAACAAAAGTGTCCCAGGCAGCAAAAAGTAAAACCTTCATGGCTTCTCATACAGGAATAGCCAAGCAGCTTCTTACTGGAAAAAAACAAAAACAAAAACAAACAAACAAACCAAAAAACCCCAAACCAAAAAAAAAAAAAAAAAAAAAAAGAAAAAAACCAAACCAAAAAAACAACCAACCACCAAAAGAACTCTTAAAAACAGGGAGGTAATGACTCAGTTCTGTTTTAAGCATATTCCTTAAGGAAATACTATAAAAAGCAGGCAGTGAACCTTAGTAGGACTTTATAGTATAGAATCTAAGTTATTTTCAATTTTACCTCAACATACATCCTCTGCCAGGCTTCCAAAATTGCTGCTGCTTTGTCCTCGTTCCAGTTGATATGTGAAACATATTCATACCCCTTGAAATGTTCATACATTTGCTTAGGGGTCATTAATTGAAACATGGTTTGTAAAGCCTGGGCACTGTGACAAGGAGGGAAGAGAGAGGAGAAATAGGCATAAACTGAGAATTCTCAGGAAAATATTTTCATGGCATGAAGTGCCAATGCAATTCTAACAGGAGCTTGCTTGAGTTCTTGACTTTATAGGGCACATGCTTGCATTAAAATTGAACAGAATATAATTATTCTACTGTGTATCTAGTGCAGTTGTACTGCTATTGAGGCTAAATCTGTTTTCACTAAAGTTAATAAGAGTTTTGACATTATTTTCAGTAGGATTAATTTCAGGAAAAAAGAATATAACCCTACAAATCTGTTCTTAAGTTCATGCTTGATAAGACAGATTGCTGTGAGGATGCCACAGGAACAGTTGTTTCTATGAAGTCTTGTAAATGCTGGCAAAATGTCATTTGAGACCTTGGTCTTTTTACCCCTTGGAGAGAAGTAGATTAAACTCCTCATGCCTAATAAACTGTGGGGAATACACAAAGGCAATCCACCCTCAATTTCCACAATAGGCAATTCCATCCAACAATTTCAGAAGCTCTTATTGATTAATAAGAAGGAACCATTAGTTAGTAAGAGAAGGAACCTTTTTCTCTTTCTATGGAAATGCCTTACTTGGCTCTTTCATGAGAGAATTATCAATATGTTATGTGAAGCTAAAAAGGTTAAAAGTTCTCTGGAAAAAATTATGCTTCATGTTGTTAAGTATGGCCTGAATTTTTCAGAACAGTAAATCACACAGTTTCATTCCCCCCCCCACTAAAGTGCAGTGTTCTATGTCTTCATTCAGAAGTCTAAAACAAAGGGTTTGAGTTTGTGTTACTACTCAAAGTTGTATTAACAACACAGGGACATGAAAATAGACTATTCTCTGTATTGACCCTGAATAAAACATTCAGTGAATATTTTGGAATTCTGAGAGAAGTCAAAGGAGTTAGTACATTACTCATTACATTACTCATTACTCATTACATTATTTTCCTTCCTTTTTCCTTTGATCATATTTCAAAATGTGATCAAAGGTGTTCAGTGCTTTACAGACTGATCAATGCTTTATACATACATTCTAAACAACAAAGCTGTCAGTAAAAAGCTTTCTTTCTGACTGACATACACCATCATTCTAAGATGAGAAGCAGGAACTGATGACACCACTTTACATTGAAACAACAGCCAAAGCACTCTTTTAAATTCTTCTCTCTTGAAACGTGTCACCCTGAAGTGAAATTTATAATACATGTGAAGGACAATAGAGTTTGCATCATCCTCCTACCGTGGCCCAAAAAATGAACCATAACCAATTAAAACTGACATTTTCTTTAAATATTTTTTTTACCTGACAAGTTTACCAGAACTGTTCTTGACTGTACCACCTATAATCAGCTCCTCCTGCCAATGCATGTATTTTCTTGATAGTCCATAGCATCCACCACTCAAAACAAGGGCTACATCAAGAGGCTAGAAAAAGTTACAAAGAAGCAGTTAATAGGTTTCATAACTTTATAAATTCATACCTTAATTCAGCACTCAGTGAACTAGAATCATGGATGTTAAAGACCATCTGGGTAGTCTACTAGAAAAAGGCATTCAACAAATCAAGCTAAGAAAACACCCAGGTGCTTGTAGATCAGATGGCAATTTCTCCAAAGTCTAACGTGCCTGATAAAGGGATATATAAATTCAAGCCTTATGTCTTTGAATTCATCACAAAAAATCAACAAAATTGGAGCTACTTGAGGAAAGACTTTTCTGCATGGCATGGGGGTGCAGCAGCAGCAGCTGTGTTCCAGCAGTGGCTATTGTCTGTCTGAGGCACCAGTTTGCTGAAATGCCACATCACTGCAGTGCCACAGCAACAGCTGACAACTGTACTTTCACTCTGAATGTACAGGATTAAGCATTGCATCATACAAGGAGGCAAAATCCATGACAGTGAGCTAACAGTGGTAGTAGGAACAGAAAAATGACATCATGCAAGAGTACAAGCCATATACTGCTTGGAAGAAAATGGCACTTTCTTCTAGTCTGTTTGACCTTCCCCCCCCAACCTTCCCCACCCCCAGCCTCCCTTGAAAAGACATGCACAAGGACAAGCAAACTTACTTTGGTGGAATTTTTATTGGGAGCTGTGATTGGGCAATCGGGATCAGCAGGATTCAGGCAGGGTCGATCCATATAACCATGACCAACCTCTGCTTTATTCAGCATTTCTTCCCAGCTCTCCACTTGGTAGTTTATTTTCTTTAACTCTTCCAAGAATTCTAAAGGGTCAAAGTTGATCCACTGCAAAGGAGGCTTCCCTCTGCAAGAGCAACCAGAAGAGAAAGACACATAGAAAAAAGACAAAAGAAGTTCTGAAATAAACATACTTTAAAATTCACGTTTGAACAAATAACTGAGTTATTTTCTGCTACAAGTTAAAACCTTTTCTGGTAAAGCTGTTTCGTGAAATGTAAGGCATGCTTTAATTAGATTTGTTTATGTACTTTCCTTAAAGCCCAGTTATAATTTGAACAAAAAAAGTACTCTGTTCTTGTAAAACTAGTTAAAAATACTTTCACTTACAAACAAAGCAAAACAAATTATCAAGAACCTAAATAACAAAAAAGCAGCCAACTGCTGCTTCAAAGAATTAGGGGGAGGGGAAAGGGACAGAAGAGAGGGGACTGAGGAAAGAAAGCCTTTCTCATAGTATCAGATTACTTCTTGCTAGTCTAATAATCATCTTGCAAATGTAATCAATCAATATAACTGATCTTTGTTTATCTGTAACAATACTGTGGTCCTTCAAATGCCCTGGCAGCTTGACTATCAACCATCAAGCCTTCCTGCTACCATGGCTGTCACCACTATCACTGTCACGTCTCCCACCCCCCACTTCTGAATTTGTGATGTTGACAGACCAGAAAGGCTTTTGACTGCCTTATTCTGTGGTTCAAACCACACTGTATCTGCTTAACCAGGCTTAAGTCATTATTCTGAATCTCCCAACCAGAAAACACAAACCCCCTTATTTCCCCATCTAAAACTGTATACTAAAGGTTAGGAGATGGCCATTGCAAATTGCTTTTGCAGAGACATGCAAACCAGGACAGAAACAATAACTCAAATGCTAACTCTTGCATAATTAACAGAAAATGCCTGCACAGATTAACAATTAGCTCTTTAAAGAACTCAGGGCATCTAATATCACACTCGTAAACTGTGAGAAACCATCTATAAAAGATACTATATGGTTTCTTTACTGGTCTCTGAAGCAAAGGATTTGTTCTTTACTCTTCAGAAAGGCTTGGAAATTAACCCAAGACATTTTCTTAGGTCTAAAATTCCCAGCCAACCAATGTTTTTGTATTTTATGGGGAAAAAAAAATCCACCAGAAACAACTTTGTTCCAGGGATAAAAAAAAAGGTAAAGCATAAAGTTCTTAAAACTCCAACTCAGAATTTACATTTTGATTTGCATGCTAGCAGCACAGGAAAAATAAAAGAGGATTTAAATTGAGGTAAACCTTGTGTTAAATGAAAAAATATGCGTATTTTTAATGCAGATACACTACACATTTTATTTTCCTGTTAAAACATAATCTGAATAAACAATGGAAATGAAACTGAAGCACTGTACACAGTTATACAATTTGAAACATTCAGACCAGAAAGTTACAAAAAACACATGCTTACAATAGATAGGCAGTTCCTGACTGTAGCTTTGCTCCCTCCCAGAAGCAGTCCAAAGGAGTGATAATTAAGCAAGGATAAAGATATTCTATGATCTGTCAAAATCAGAAAGAGGAAAAACACAGTCACACAAGAATATAATCAATGCACCACAAGCTGAATCATGAAAATACACAAACCTTGTAATTAAATGCCTGCTACACATACCTGGTCCATGTAACCTGCTTCAGTGATGAGTTCTCCTGATTTGTAACACAAATGTTCCAATTTCCACTGTCTGTAAGAAACGTGAAGGACAAATATTTTCTTCTTGCACAATTACTGAGAAGTAATTTTGAAAATATAACAGACATTTAAAACTGTGACTCACATACACACACTGGGCTCAAGCAGCAAATCATTGAGTAAGGCAAATGTTATTAAAAAGAGATATATTAAACCTCACCCAAAAAAAAGCGCCTTTATTCAGTTGTTTCCCTATTCTCTGTAAAACTCATTCAAAATAAGGAGGGAGGTGCTTTTGTACATACAGGATAGTCAACATGTGTTCATGGGACAAAAATACATCTTGTATTTTTGTCAGTCTCATTTATATGAGACTGCTTGTGACTTAAGGTATCACTTGATGACACCAGTAAGAGAAAAGCCACCTCCAGCTCAGAGGACTCAAATATAGTCAGCGGACCAACACATGCAGAAGCAAATGAACCATTAAGATTCCAGCCTTCTTATTTCAGTTGTATTACAACTTCCACTACCATGGCTTCTAATGACTTAGGGCAGAAGCTGCATAAAAGATAATTGGAGCCTTAGCAGCAGCTCATGGAGGAACCAGCTGGGTGTGCTGAAAAGATCTGCTGAAAGACAGGGAGCTTTGTGCCTCACAGGCAGGACTCCTAGGCACATCACTGTGTAAGTAGTAACCCTGGCAGAACCATTTTTCAGGGAGACATCCTAGCCCTGTGCTGGTACCTTCCTGAGGTGCACCTTTATTATTTTTCTGTGGGACAACACAGAACTGCCAACCATCAGTATGCGGCCACAGACACTCTTTAAGGCACAGTCTGTTGTCTGTGTTATTAAACAGCTCTTATTCCACCTGCTGACATTTCTACCACATCTGCATTTCCCTTTATAGCCAAACTATTGGAAGAACACTAGCCTCTGCCACTGTTCACAGCCATTATGTACCTCATTATGACATTAGCAAGTGAATTCAACTCTAGTATGGAAGGATTTTCAATGTTAGGAATCCTATCCATAAGGTTCTACATTTAAGATCACAGACATTATACCTTTACCTAAAGAAATGTCACATGCTGTGGCATGCCTCACGTAACACCACTTACTTGTTAAATGCCAATTTATCACAGCTATCATGCCACAGTGACAAGCTATCAGAAACCAGTGACACTCGAATCAAAACACAGCCCCAAGGGAAAGGCTCAGAAGTGCCAACTATTTAAAAACATATTAAGGAAAGCACGCATCCATTTTCAGCTACCACATATGATCAAGAAAATTTGTGATTTTCCCCTCACCTGTTGTACATATAGACATGTACTCTGCTGGCCTGAAGTGCAGACTCAAGGTGCTGTCGGAGTGCTTCTGTTGTTAGTACATTAGCACCATCTTCCTGTGGAGTCTGGATCATGAGCTGGGGGTTGAACATGGCCTCTTCTCCAATCTTCTGCCGTGTGTAATTTAACTCCTGACTCACTCGACCACCAACTGATGGATAAATATTAAGGACTCTGTATTAGCCAATACCTGCTTATTCTGCATTCTCTTGATGAACACACTCTAGTCAGAAAACTGATTGTGTGCAGGGCCTATTCTTTCTCAATCTGATCACTGTGTAACTCTAAAACTAAGAACAACTTTTAGTATATCTGAAAAAAGCCCCACATTCCTCATTACAATACCTTTCCTGCTACTGTACTGAAACACTAATGCATAAACTGGAGCCTCTGTTTTTTCTATATTATAACCAATATCCCAAGTGTAAAAATTAGAGAAGAGGAAGAAAAAAGGAAAAACTTTACCTGGCAGACCAGAAGAAATACTATGCTACAATTTCTTATACTTGTATGTAGTCTACGCCAAAAGCACATTTCAAGACAATGGCTTTAATTTACACTCTTCTACTAAATAACTTGGCAAAGATAGAAGGCAAATGTTCCTCTTAGGTATTTTTAAAAAAATTGAGAAGGTAAAGAGTAAGCAAGAAGAAGTATTCCTTTCAGCTTTAAATAAAAAAAGAAAAAATGTCAGGTTCATATGAAGAGATGCAGTTTGAGTGTAGCAGAAAGGTCTGTCTACAGTAATTTACCCCAGTGGCCCACTACCTGGCTTAACATGCTGTGATGCAGGAGATTGCTCATATGCAACATCTGTTTCTAAACCCACATGAGCCAAACAGCGTGCTCCATATTAAAACATGGTGGGGAAAAAAAAGAAAAAAAAAAAACGAGGCAGAGGGAGATTGCAGAGTCGACAGGCTCTAGATGGAGCTAGACACAATTTGCCTCGCCAGAAAACACTGCATAAGAATGGAAAACTGTCTTCCCTTTTACAAAAACCCCAGCCAGCCAGAGTTCATATACTTCATATAACCTCCCCCATAGTCTCTCTAGCCAAGGTATGTGGGAGGCAACGTCAATTAATTCAGCCTATTAGCTGAATCAAGACCACATCCAGATGAGGAGGACAAGAATGTAAATCCAAGCTACAGATCTGGTCTAATTTGTTACATTTTTCTCAGTCCTAGCAAGCTTGACACTGGCTATCTGAATTACTGCCAAAGTTTAGCTTGCAACAGTGTGAACAGAAATTAAGCACATATATTTATTTCTTCCTAGGTCATATAACAAAAGACTGATCCACAACCAGTTGGCAGAGTGAGAGATGAGATTCCTGAGCCTAAGCAGGGACATACTTTTTCAATCACTTGGGCCCTCAACCCACCCGTAACACCCCTGGGGCTAAAACGACCACCAGGCAAGAAGCTGGGCCCCTGCATGCATAAAGCTGTCAGAATGAGACCCTCAACAATTAAACCATACAGACATTCTGGCACGAAGCATTGCTTAATTTCTTGTTCAAGAATTCTTTGAAGAAATAAGTGTTTCCACAACACACCCAATTTTTTTTCAGCCTGTCACATGTGGGATTACCTCCTTTATACCAGGGAACAGAGACTAGCTCACAGTACGCAAAACAAAACAAAACAAATCAAAGTACAATCTTTTACCTAGAATCCCTTCAGAACTTTTTAACATCACTCTTACTACAGTGACAGGACAGGACATACTATCATTGAGACTGCATTTGCATGGTAACAAAATGTTATTGCTAATTCTTATAAAGATTTAAACTCTAAAAATACTTTCATTCATCAGCCCCAGGTTTATGCTCACAGCTGTCTTTCCACAGTATTCCACCAATCAGTAGTCCTTGATACTTAGATTTTTAATTCATCTTACAGGAATATGAGAAATAAGGAGCAGAGTTATCCTAATCTGTATGTCTTGTAACCAGACCTTTCTTTCACAACCCTGTACACTGCAAGTGCTTCAAAGACAAAGTGACCCTCTCCCTCTTTTGTCTCTCAGTGCCAGTCAAGACAATAAAGCCCCAATGTTAAGAGGACTGGGGAGTCTACCATAAACTTCTACTCCTGGTACTATACTCTCTCCCATTCCACCCACACTTTCTTTTTGAATTCAACCAGAACTTGAACCAACAAATCATACTTCATGCAAGACAAAGGGCATCATTCCCACCTCTGCTGAAAGTGACCAACTGTTTACTATCAACAGAGATGATCGCTTCCTAATCAAAGTCCTGTCAAACCACGTTAACTTCACTGAACAAGGCAGATCTAGCTAATCAAAATTGCATCCTGCAAGTCAGTCATCAGAACAGAAGCTGTTTTTTCCCTTTCTAACATTTCAACCAGGAGTAGCAAAACCACCCAAGAAGCTGGGCACAGATTCCAGAATCCATCAGCAGATCTGCTTCGCATTCTTCTTAAGGCATTACACCATTTAACTATTCCTTTGATGGGTCTATTATCTACCTTTCTTCAGCCAAACAAAGTAAAAGTAGCTCCAAATATTGCAAATATTTTATACAATGTAGCAGTCAGGTAAAAAATAAAGTCACAAGTGTACATTGACAGAATTTTCAGCTGCAAGACCAGGTTACGTTAAAACACATGGACAGACCAGAAGCAAGTGTTGTGGTCTTTCAACATATTAGGAGTAAAATAGAGCAAAAGGGAAGGAAAAAACCAAAAAAAATCAAAGTTTTTACTAGTTGTGCTTCAATTTATTTTAATTAAAAGTTTGCAAAGATCACTGGAGCCTGCCATACTCACTTATCTTCAACCCACACAATCAGCACAATTAGCTGAATAGGCATTAAAATCAAACCTCTTGTTGCTCTTTTTTTTTTCCTCCAATTACCCACAAGTAGTGCAAAAACTTAAGTAAAAATGTCACGGAAATGCACTAAAGCCACTGTGCTGGATATATATATTACCTGCAAGACTCACACATTCTGCAGGAATTCATTCCTTACACTTAAGAAAAAAAAAGGCATTATAGTCATAATAGTATTTCCACACCATAGCACAAACAATATAATGGAAAATATGATCAATGAACAAAATGCTGGTGTTTTATGGTTTTCCTTCATGGACTCTATTTTCTTCAGCTTGGTAATAGCAACAATTTACACTCAAAATGCTACTAACAGAAATTTTATGTATGGCATACATACTTCCAATTCTATTTTATATCAAAGAGAGACAAAACCATCTCACTTTAATATTCTGATGAAAAAAATCAGGAAAAAATCCACATATCACTGTCCTTTTTTGATATACCAAAAGCCACTTGATGGCATTCTTGACTTTTATTACATGATTCCTTATGATTAAGTACACAGATGGCTGAGTTAGTGGCAAGAATTCCCACAATCAAAAGATGATTTAAGTAACAGATCAACACAGAGTCTCATGACTGGTGATAAGACAGTGCAGTGGCTTGTACACTACCCTTCCAGCAGTGTCATGGGTTTCTACCTATGAAAAATGAGATACTATGCTGTCTGTGTGATTTAGCTACAATTTTTTAAGGAAAAAAAAAACAAAACAGCAAAGCACTAACACCAGTGTTATTACTTTGCATTTAACATATCTGTTTCTAATTCTCAAGGATGTGTTTGAAGGCCATTGCTCAACATGAAACTGACAGCATCTCTACTGCTGAGGATTAGTTATTGTTAAAAAGCTGGTTTTTTTCCAGAGAAGAGGAAAGGGTCTTCCTCCTTCCTACCCTCTCTGATATCCACAGGCTTCCCTCTTAGCTCTTTGTCAGAACACTCCAGATCTGCCTTGAGCAAGTCAGCATCCTACACCATGAAACAAACTGCTGCTCCTCCTGAGCCTGCCACCAACTTGAACTAGCTGGTCAAGGTAATTTGCACTAAGACTGGTGCATAACACTGATACACCCTTCAATGTAAGAAGGGTGTAAGAATAAGACTGTGATTGTTTTCATTGGCACAATTTTTGACACATTTCCTTTCACCGACTTAATACCCATTTTGAAGTTCCTGTGTCATTCAGCTCATGTGCTCATTCCACTGAAAATGCCAGTTTTATCTACACCTTTCTCACAACCAAAGTGAAAATTTACATGGCATTATATTAACACATTTACAAAGAAGTCTGAAATCCATCACTGCAGCCCCTTCCATACCAACTAGCCTGAGGAGTAAATTTGACCACTGTCACACTTACAGATCAATGCTAGATCAAGTCATCAGGGATAACCAGAAGTCACTACTTATTAATTTACTGTCCAATGGCTCTGAATGCATTAAATACTTATTTTTCAGAGTGTCTTACAATGTTTCACTTCAGGTTACTGGAATTGCATCACATAGCCTGAGGTTTCTTTATTTTTCTTGGACATGAACACTACCTCTATTAACCACTCAATAGTTACCTTGTGCACTACAACATGCAACCAGTAGCTTAGTAGACAGCAAGCTCTCTCCAAAAAAGAAAATTCCACAGAGACAAACATTTGGGATAAAAATGTTTGCCTATCTAAGTGGAGGACAGACTTTGAGAAACCAAAGCTAAGTTTCCCACAAATACATACTGGTTTTGGAGCCTAAATTCTCAGACAAATTTTATGAACACAAACAATTTTCTGGAGAACCTCCCTTCCGAAGTCTATGCGCCTCAAGGCATCTGAGCACCTGAGGAGCAGACACAGTTCTGCTTTGTTTGAGCAACACCACCTTTTAAATTTTTTTCAGGACTATAAATGTGTAGCATTCAAGCAATTCAGCAACCTTGTGCCAGTGAAAACTCAAAGCAACAGAATCATGCCTCTAATAGTCATGAACATCTCACACAAACAATGTTTTTGTTTTATGTCTTTGAAAGATGCTATCATTTTTGATAAATCAGGCATATGGATAAGTATCCCTTGCAGTGTTTATTTTATGGCAATAGCCAAGGCAGGGAACCTTTGCAATACCTGTAATCACTACTGCAGGAGGTATAAGAAGTAAAACTCCCTTACAACCCAGTGATCACATACAAAGACTGAGAAATATTCCCATGTGTTCACCTGGGTCTCAGCCTTCAACAATCAACCCAAAAAACAGCAATGTACAGAGAAAGATGCTAGACCAACATGGAGAACAGA